AATGTAAGCCTGGGTAAGGTATGATGGTTCTCATTGCATGGATTAAACGAAAAAAAAAAAGAAGATGAGGAGGAAGAAGAGGAAAGGAAGGAGGGAAAGAAGAAAGAAAGAAAGAGAAAGAAGGAAGGAAGGGAGGGAGGAAGAAAGGAAGGAAGGAAGGAAGGAAGGAACTAAATATATCTGGACTTCAAGACTTCTCACGTCTACTGCAAAACTTGCACCACCATGACCATTGTTTTTCTCCCAGAAAACTATGACTGAAGAAAAACTGAGCTGTTGAATTAAGAAGATATGTTTCTTATCCAGTTATCCCACTTCTGGCTATTTATTTTTACATATATATATATTTTCACTTCTGGGTATTTGATTGAATAATACAAAACACTTATTTGAAGAGATATGTGTACTCCCACATTTTTTTTGCAGCATTATCTGAATAGTTAAGCACTGTGGACAATTTAAGTGCCTCCTGGAAGATGTGGCAAATATTCATAATGAATACTGTCACTGTCACTGTCCTCCCGTTGTTCATTGATTTGCTCGAGAGGGCCCAGTAATGTCTCCACTGTGTCACTTGTTACTGTATTTGGCATATTGAATACGTCACTTGTTACTGTATTTGGCATATTGAATACGTGCTACAGTGATCTACTTGAAACATTACAGTACGGGTAGCTTACCAGGCTTTGCCGTGCAGGCAAGATATTCTAGGTAGCTTGCCGGGCTCTCTGAGAGGGGCGGAGGAATTGAACAATTGAACTCGGGTTGGCGAAGGTTGGCCTCATGCAAGGCAAATGCCCTACCTGTTGTGAATACTATTGAGTTATAAAATGATGAAATCCAGGTCTGGCATGTAAAGCACTTTTCTACCAGACCTGGTCATATGGAGATGACTTTCCCTTCACGTAGGAGGTCTTGAGTTTGTTTTCTGTCACCGTGAGAAAATAAATGAAGAAGAAAATTAAGGGATGAAGCCCTGCCATTTATAATAACATGAATGGACCGTCAGAGTACTTACAGTTACTGATTTTTCACTATCCACATTTAGTGGGAAAAAGAGAAATACTGCACACACAAACCCCACTTCACCTGGGTCCCCCCAATGAACTAAATATAACAAAGTAAATGTTTAGGCTATAAGAATTATCAAACAGGGAGAAGGAAGTGGATTAAAGAGACCTATTTAATTAAAGAAATCAATTGTAGGATAGCACTGTAGCACTGTCCTCCGGTTGTTCATTGATTTGCTCGAGTGGGCACCAGTAATGTCTCCATCATGTAATGTCTCCACCAGTAATGTCTCCATCATGAGACTTGTTCTTACTGTTTTTGGCATATTGAATACGCCATGGGTAGCTTACCAGGCTCTGCCGTGTGGGCAGGTTAATCTCAGTAGCTTGCTAGAGAGCCGGAGGAATCGAACCCGGGTCGACTGTGTGCAAGGCAAACACCCTCCCCACTGTGCTATTGCTCCAGAAGGATATAATTGGTAAAGTTAATGCAGTTGGTAAAGTTAATAGTTTTTTTGATTTATAACAACATATACCTGAAACGGACTGGAGTGATAGCACAGTGGGTAGGGCGTTTGCCTTGCATGTGGCTGACCCAGGGTTTGATTCCTCTGCCCCTTTCAGAGAGCCCGGCAAGCTACCGAGAGAATCTCGCCTGCACGGCAAAGCTTGACAAGCTACCCGTGACTTATTTGATATGCCAAAAACAGTAACAAGAAGTCTCACAATTTGTTGTGAGACATTACTGGTGCCTGCTTGAGTAAATTGATGAACAATGGGAGGATAGTGCTACAGTGATCTACTTGAAACATTACAGTATTATAATACAATGTTACATTTATTTATTTATTTTTATAAAACTTTAATGTGACTTAGAATGCCTGCCTTGCAAGATCAGGTCAAGACTTCAAAACTCAGTGCCTCCACATGCCCCTATGGCAACCTTGGCCGTTCTTGTGTCTGTGATCCCTGGTATTCCAAGCAATTTCTGGCCGTAGATATGTGTGAATGCATAAAAGATGTGCAAGCCCTACAGTCAGGAAGTGAGATCCCTGACTAGCATGTGTACTAGCAACAGGGAGCTGCTTCTACCCCGTGCCATTCCCACCTTCACCATAACAACACAGCTGAATGAGCTCTGATGGCCACAACTAGAACATTTCGTCTTTGTAACCTCCAAGCCTGTGTGAAGAAGTGCAATGCATGGACTAGAAAGAGCGATCACTCAAAAGACTGGAACATCCACTTAGATCTTAGGCACTGCATGGTACCCTTCTCCCCTCACCCCGCTAAGCCCCGCAGGGAGCCAATGGAGCAGAGTTACTCTCAAAGGTGTGAAACCCTTTGTGCTTGAGCACTGCAACCTGATGTGCCATGTTCCCTTTTCCAACTGAAAATGTGCAACCCTCATAGTCAGGATGGCCAATGACCTCCAGTCTCTGTAGCAACACAACCAACAACTGCAAAGGGAAATAAAAAAAATTAAATAGAAGCATTTTTTCAGTCTGTTTATGACAACTGATGATCCCCAAATAGGCAGAGGTTATCTTCAATAAGATTAGCGGTGCTGCCTGGCTCTAGGTGATTGAAATAGATATCTAGAATCACCTCTGTCATAAGACTTGCCTTGTCACCAATGTATATAAGTCTTGGCCTAGGGAAGGAACAAGATCTGGGGACACATGCGTGGTCTTACTGCCCAATCCTTACAACAAAACCAGAGCTAGAATACTAACAGATTCTGTTTTTATTTATTTATTTATTTTGCTTTTTGGGTCACACCCAGCAATGCACAGGGGTTACTTCTGGCTTTGCATTCAGGAATTACTCCTGACGGTACTCAGAGGACCATATGGGATGCTAGGAATTGAACCTGGGTCAGCAGCATGCAAGGCAAATGCCCTACCCGCTATGCTATGGCTGCAGCCCCAATACTAAAAGATTCTTTAAAAAATTAATTATGGGTGCCAAAATAGGACCTGGAGTGTCCCTCTTTCAGGGTCAGGGAAATGAGACCTATTGTATTTACTGGTTTTGGCACATAGAATACACCATGGATAACTTGACAGGCTCTGCCGTGCCGGCGGGATTCTCTCGGTAGCTTGCCAGGCTCTCTGAGAGGGATAGAGGCTTTTGGGGCGGCCTCTAATCGCCCTTGTAGGTGTTCCATTCGCTCTCAACGGAAGGACAATCTCCAAATGCAACAGTTATGTGTACCTAGGTCGAGGTATCAACATGACGAATGACCTGGCACCTCAGTTGCGCAGGAGGAAAAGAGCTGCTTGGAACGCCTTCAAGAGCGTCGAAGAAATAGCTAAGAGGACGAAGAACCTCCGGCTTCAGGCACATCTCTTCGATTCCACTGTTCTTCCTGCATTAACATATGCCTCAGAGACCTGGGCCCCACGAAAACAGGATGAGAACACTATTTGGTCTCCAAAAGGAGAATTGAAAGAGCTATACTAGGAGTATCATGCTTCACTCAAGTGAGAGAAAGAATTCGGAGTTCAGACCTCCTTCGGTGATCAAGAAGCAGGGACACTGTCTTGTTTGCCAAGGCATCGAAAATCAGATGGGCTGGACACATAATGAGATTTGGAGATGACCGCTAGACTAGAGCCATTACCAACTGGATTCCATGGGACATCAAAAGACTGCATGGCTGCCCACATACGAAATGGTCAGACTTCTTTGGCAAGACCCTGAACGATTGATTTGAGGCTCTTTGTGTTCCTAGACCGAGCAGACGCTATTGGGCTATACTAGCAAGAGACAGGGATGAATGGAGACGTTACTGGCGCCCGCTCGAGCAAATCAATGAATAACGGGATGTCAAGTGATCAAGTGATCAAGTGGCGTGTCCCTCCGTCTCTTTGGAGGGTGGGGAAGTTGCAGAGTTGGCCTTGTGCTTTGGGGAAGCCAGGCGAGGAGCAGAGAGGGTCTGGAAAGCTCTCAGATGTAGGCTGTGGACCTCCTCGGATGGGACCATTTTACTGTTACTACAAAAAAGTAAACAGGATGCTCAGAGGTTGGGTTGCAGTCATCAGTCAGCTTGAGTCACTTTCGTCCTCTAAATTAATCCTCATCACAAAGCTGGGGAGATAACAGAATGGCACTTCTGGTTAAGGATTTTTGTGCGGGAGTGGTACTACAGCAGGTAGGGTGCTTGCTTTGTACTCAGCTGACTGGGTTAGACCTCCTCCTTCCCTCCACCCCAAACCAGCACCCTCCCCCCCAAAAAAAAACCCAAAAGCATTCTATGTTCTGAAAGGCAACAGATTCAGAGAACTGCTTTTCAGTAGGAAGCTAGTTGGGTGGGAGAGGGGACAGATAGGGGGAGGATAGGGCGAGGGGGACTCTGGGGTAAGTGGAGGGTTTGGTGCAGGGATGTTTTATTCATCGAAGCTCATCATTAGCAGTTTTGGAAATCACTGTACCTAAACGCAAAAAAGCCACAACTTCCCCACTGTCCACCCCTCCCCCTACCTCCAAAAAAAAAAAAAAGAAAAGAGAGAGAAAGAAAGCAAGCTACCCTCCGGCTCCTGGGGCTCCGAGAGATAGTGTCCTCAGCACCCAAGATCGGGAGCAGCCCCTGAGTACCCCGGGGGGGTCGGGGGGGGGGCTGTGGACCAAAACCTAAAATCAGAGGCACGCAAGCGAAAAAAGAATTCTAGTGTCCAGTTTTAGCTCCCCTCGCCCCTCATCCCCTTCCACTGCAGAGCAGAAACTTGGAGTAGGAGTTACTCGCTGTAAATCCAGAACTTCCTAGTGTAGACCACAGCTAGAAAGAACCGCGGAGGTCTGCGCCCTCGGTTGCAGCGAAGGTGCCCAGGGCGCCGGGCGAGAAGCGGGCGGAGCCGAGGCCCCATCCCTGCGGGGGCAGCCGGGGCGGAGCCCGCGGGCCGGGCACGGGAGGCGGGTTCGGGGCGGCTCTTGGGAGCTGCGGCGCGCGGTGGCCGCCCCGGGTCGTGCTCACACGGGCAGCCGGAGCGGAGCCCGGAGCGCCTGAGCCTGGGTGAGTGGGGCGGCGCGGGCCAGGGCGGGGGGCTGCCCCTTCGCCCGTGCCCCGAACTCTTTCCTTGGAGTCCACCCCTCCCACTCCCCTTCTCCCGCTCCCCTCTCTCCAGAACTCTCGCATTCCCTTGTCTTCTTTCAGCCCTAAAGTCCCGGCCCTCCCGGGATCCTTGGGCACCCAGGGGGACCCCGGCCCTGCAGTTCCTGCCGTTTTGGGGAACGGTCCTGCCCCCCGGGAGCCGCGCCTGGACCCTGCTGTGGGCTGGCCCGAACCCTGTGTTCCGAACCTTGGCGCTACTCAGCAGCTGGGCGTCTGGGCCGCATCTTTCCCCCCATTTCCAAAGCACACAGTTGTAGAACACCCGAGGCCTTGCAGTCAGGGCTGGCGGGGACCCCTGCTCTGTCTCTAGCCTTTTTACCCTCCCGTCTCTGAGCCTTCGAGCTCGTGAAATGGGGAAAATGTTTTTGTGTACATAAATCAGACGAGAAGGGTGGGGGGAGTATAAAATATCTTGGGCAGAAGTCTACCCTCTACCAAGTGGCCTCTTTCTTCTATCTCTTCACAGAGGACTTTGTTGTCCCCCACCCCCTCCAGCCCAGCTATTTATTGAGGATAGGGATGGTCTCTATACCTGAGAAAACTACGTTTGGCACAGGGCCTGGCAAATTGGTGCTCACCTTATGTTTACTGAGTGAAAGATTGGGAGATGGAGGCGGTGTAAACCTGCCTAGCGCTCAGAGGTGGTTCTTTTGATCTTGTGGCCAGGCAGTTCTACTGGATTCCTTCCTGTCTATCCTTCTGAGGGCACTTGGGTCGCTGCCTAAGACCCCTCTTAGTTCTAGGGTGTCAGTCACACAAGGAGTCAGATATTCCCTGGACCTTGGCTGTGCTCTGGGCAACCTGTGCTAAATGGTCCTGGGGTGAGTACGTTGGGGTGGGGTGGCAGGGGGAAGAATAGTTCTTGGAAGTCAGGAGAGCTTGGAGTTACCTCCATCAGGCATTTCCCTCTGGACTGCCCCTCCCCATCTGTAAAATAAGAAACTGGGTGTGGAACATTTGGGGGCCGGGGGTTGAGTGAGCTTGTTAGCATGTGGGCCTGTCCTCTGAGGTCACAGAGGCACTTCAGGTATTCTTTGGGACCTCTGTCTAACAACTGTAAAAACAAGGAGAGTTTCTTCTCCTTTCTGGCAGGGACCTCCTGTTTCCTGTGGCCTGGGGTTATGACCATGCCAGTGACTCTAAATCTTACAAAGATAAGCCGACTGCTGTCAGAAATGAGGACTCTGTTGACTCCATTGCATTGATGGCCTATAGATTTCTCCTCTGCTGCACAGCCTGAAAACTGGGGCAGTGGTGAGGTGTTTGAGACAGAGTAACGAGTCACACATTGGTGGACCCAGAGCCAACAAAGAGACATCACAGATGCAGATGCTTTCCCAGATATATTCTGATTCTTCTTTACATGTTTCTGTTTCTTCTCCATGAATTGAAGTATAAAAAGGAAATATCTCCAAGGAGTAACTCCAAAAAAAAAAAAACTCCAAGAGAGTCTATTTTAATTGGCCTTATACTGTTGACATTGACCGTACTATCAAAATGATACATGAATCCTAAAGCCCCCACCCTGACTGGCCAGGTCAGCTGAATTCTATAAAAAACATCATAATTGGCATTTATGGAGTACTGAATGTGAGATATTATTCTTTTTCCCCCTTTTTTTTCCAGTCACATCCTGGTGATGCACAGGGGTTACTCCTGACTCATGAACTCAGCAATTACTCCTGGCAGTGCTTGGGGCACCATATGGTATGCTGGGAATCAAACCCAGATCATCTGCGTGTAAGGCAAACGCCCTACCGGTTGTGCTGTCTCTCCAGCCTGAGATACTATTCTTTTAAAAAGTGGTTGAAGTGAAATTTGCATTGTACATTCTATTGATTTTAGTTTTGCATTATTAAAAGTCTTATCCATATACATCGTTTCATAGTTAGAGTTTACCTCAAGAAGTTCACCACAATTCATCATATTATTGATTTTTTAAAATTCCAATTTATCTCCCTCTTCCCCTTTCCTTTTGGTAACCATTATTTTGACTTTCTAGTCTAACATTTATTTCTGTTCTGTTTGGTACATTTATTTGTTTTCTCTCTTTACCACATGTGAGTGACATTGGATAGTGTCATTTGCCTTAGTATGCTCAATACCGTCTAAATTTATCCATGGAACCAGATTTTAATCTAACGATTTTACATATATTAAGTCATTTAGTCTTCACCAGGGCTGGAGCGATAGCACAGCGGTAGGGCGTTTGCCTTGCACGCAGCCAACATGGCCGACCCGAGTTCGATTCCTCCGCCCCTCTTGGAGAGCCCGGCAAGCCACCGAGAGTATCTCGCCCGCCCGGCAGAGCCTGGCAAGCTCCCCGTGACGTATTCGATATGCCAGACACAGTAACAACAAAGTCTCCAATGGAGACGTTACTGGGCCCGCTCGAGCAAATCGATGATCAACGGGAGGGCCTTTACTTTTTTTTACTTTTTTATTCTTCACCACACTCCCCTGAGCCACACTCATTTTATAGATCAAGAAACTGAGGTCCAGTTAGAGTGAGTAATTCACCTATGATCACAAACAATGTGAATAGCAGAAAATCAGTTTGAAGCCAGAAAGTCTATATACAGGGTCTGTGTTTTAAACTTCATTGGGTTGTAAGCGATCTGTATTCAAATCTTGTCTCTGAAACTTATTTGAGAATAACATCAGGGACTGTGAGTGAGAATTTCACAGCCACCGGACTAAAGGTATTACTGGGGACTCTAGTACCCTTCCAATTTGCTAGGATTATGGCAGATGAACTTCAAGAAAAAAAGGTGTATATCCAAGAGTAAAGTCTAACAGATTGGAAGAGGAACAGCTCTGAATTTTACTTGACTGGCATATTAAAAGCAACCACACTCAATGACTAAATTGCATACATTCAGTTGCTTATTGTGTATAGCTTCTATTTGATTGATTTGTACTCTGGTTAACTATGTAGGCATGTGAACTGTTGGTGAACCACTGCATAGGATCAAGACAGTGAACTGGAAAAGGGAGGAGACAAAAATGATGCAACTGGGTTCCTTTAATTCCCAATTAGTGATGACACACAGGTCTGGCATACATCTTACTGTTCTTACCCCTTTTCTCATAGGTAATCAGGACTTTGTTCCTAACCTCTACCAGACTGGTTCAGAATCCTTCTTTGTGGTCTGAGTGTTCCGATTTTTTTTTTACCCTTCCAAGATCAGAGATCAAACCCAGAGTTTCACATAGGCAGTGCAAGTGTTCAACCCATGAGCCTGTCTCTAACTCTTGGAATCCTTCTTAGTGAGGTGTTTTGGATGGGCTTTGCCAGTTCATTGTGAAGCTTTTATTGAGCTCTCTCAGGTTTCCCACTTAATTCCTCTGTGGTATGGTAAAGTAATGAATAGTAGAGCAGGCAATCCATCTTCTCTTCCTCTAACTGTTTCCGGTTTTTTCTTTAATGACTTTCAGCTCAGAATCCATCCTGGAACTGAGGCAGGATGCCAGGAGAGCAGAGCAATATGTGTGAGAGACCACATCACCCAGCCTTTTTCAACTTAGTGGTAGGAGATACGGGTCCATTTTGAGATGGTCTTATTTAGGATCACAGAATATTCGTTTTCTAATGATATAGTACATTATCACAAATTTACTGGCTGAAAATCCCCCCAGATTTATTACATCACCTTCTGTAAGTCAGAAGTCCATTATGAGTCTTTTAAAATATTTTAATGATTTTATTATCCTATGATTTTTTAAAAACTTTTTTATTGAATCAGTGTGATACAGACCCTTGCAAAGCTGTTCATGATTGGATTTCAGTCATACAGTATTCCAACACCCATCCCTGCACCAGTGTACATTTCCCAGCACCAGTGTCCCCAGGTTACCTCTAATCACCCCCAACCCCCATTATGAGTCTTTCTAGAATAAAATTAAGACACCTCTAGGCTATTGGAGTGTTTAGGAGTGAGGACTCCAATAGCTTTATTTGAAATATTGCCTAACTTTAGTTCAAATGATTCACTAGTTGTAGGACCATGATCTTGTTTTCTTCAGTTGAAACAGGCAAGTCAGCATCCCTGACTGCCGTTATCCTGGACTCCTGGTCCCCCTCCTCCATCCTCAGAGACAATAAATACTTGACTCATCAACAGTGAGTCAAGTATTTCTCAAGTCAGACTTCCTTGACTCTTCAGCCATTTTCTTTACTGTTTCAGGACTTAGGTGATTAGACTGGGTCCACCTGGCTAATCTAGAATACTCCTCTTAGCTCAAAGTCCTGAACTTTCACTGCCAAGTTACTTTCACCTCTGTTCTTAAAGAATCTCCATTGGAGTCCTATTTTATTTTTCATATTCATGTTTTCAGAAACTAGACAATGACATTTTTGAGAGGTGATTCATTATTCTACCTCTACAGTGTGGCCCACTTTTGTCCTCTTTTTTTTTTTTTGCTCTTTGTATCACACCCAGCAATGCACAGGGGTTACTCCTGGCTCTGCACTCAGGAATTACTACTGGCGGTGCTCAGGGGACCATATGGGATGCTGGGAATTGAACCCGGGTTGACCGCGTGCAAGGCAAATGCCCTGCCTGCTGTGCTATCGCTCCAGCCCCCACTTTGGGAGAGTGAGTTGTTTTGACAACACAGGGACACAGGATCTTAGCATCTCTTTAGAACTCTTTGCAGCTCTTTCACCAAGTACCCTGGTTACCCACTCTATGTAGAGTCTCCTTCATGGGGCCAGCTCACAGCTGGCACATAGTCACTACAGATTACAGTGATGGGTAGTAGAGACTTCCATAGGATGCCTTGAAATTGGCTGTGTTTTTCCTCAACAGCTCTCTGTTAGTTTCTGAGACTTTGTGACTGACTAGCTTGGATGGTATGTGCAGTTTTGAACAATCTTGGCTACTTTCTGAGCTCTTTGA